TGTCCTCAGGATCTGGGGAGGTCGCTATGGAGACGCGCTGCAGGGTGGGGGGAGCACCCCTTTCCGGAAGAGGGCGAGGGGTGCGGGGCACCTCTGCCTCATCCCTGATTATGTCTCTGAGAGTTTCCCCCCCACCCCCATCTGTCTGCCTTCCAGGTCTCTCTCGGGACCATCTCTGTCTCTGGATACCTGTCTGTGGGTCTCTGTCTCTCAGGCCTCATCTCTGTGGGTCTCTTTCTCTGTCCTTTGCCGTCTCTCTCTGCGTCCCTGGCTCTGTGCTTCTCCGTGTCTCTGGCTCTCTCTGGCTTTCGTGTCTCTATGTCTCAGTCTCTCTTCGGGCTGTCTCTGGGATCCCATGTTTGTGTTTGTCTCTCCAAGCCCCTGTCTCTGGATCGCTGTCTCTTTCTGTCTCTGGATTCCTGCTTTCTCTGGATCCTATTTGTGTGTGTGTGTGTGTGTGTGTGTGTGTGTGTGTGTGTGTCTTTCGGGCCTCATCTCTCTGCAGTCTTGAATCTCAGGGGGGCCCTTTCAGCCTCCCATTTCTGGCCTCAGTCCCCACGGGGTGCCTCCTCTCCCCATCTCTCTCTGCCTCATTTCTCCCGAACCATCTGCCGGCCCTCCAGGCCCCTGCCTGCTCCCCACAGGCTCTGCTTGGCTACAGCCCCAGCGGGGAAGGCACAGACCCTTCCAGCTTCTTCCCCACAACCCCCCACCTCGACTGACTGCCCCCTTTGGGGAGCACTGCCTTCTCCTTGCTGGGAGGGGTCAATACCAGTACTGGAGACCCATGACCTGAGGCCATGGAGAGAGAGGAACAGAGAGACTCATGGAAGAGAAAGGGGAAAGGTTAAAGATGGGAGAGAGAGAGAGATTCACACACACACACACACACACACACACACACACACACACACAGAACAGAGGTGTGGGAATCAGAGTGGGGGGGGCTGCTCCCCTCCCCAGACCCTAGGAGACTACAGAGGACCCAGAAGGGTTGGGGGGTGCAGAGGGCCAGCCAGGGACCCAGGCACCGCCCCTGCTGGGCACCCTGTGCTCGCTTGTGCCCAGGTTCCCCCGCAGGCGACCTCTAGACTCTCAGGGCTAATGAGGGGCTCAGATCTGAGCCCTGGGTGGTTACCTGTCCCCATAGCCCATTTTCTAGGCTCTCTCTCCCTCCACTCTCCCCATCTTCCTCTCAGTGTGGCCGTTGCTCAGTTTCTACATGTTCTCTGTCCCTCTTCCCCTCCTCTGTAGCCCCACCCTCCCGTCTCTTTCTCTCTCTCCTTGTCTGTTTCTCTCTCCCTGTCTCCCTGTGTATGTTTCTCTATGTTTGTCTCTTTCTTTCTTTTTTTTAATGTTTCTTTTAAAATTTATTTCTGAGAGGGGCGCCTGGGTGGCTTAGTCGGTTAAGCGTCCGACTTTCGCTTAGGTCATGATCTCACGGTTCGTGGGTTCGAGCCCCGCGTCGGGCTCTGTGCTGACTGCCTGCTCAGAGCCTTGAGCCTGTTTCAGTCTGTGACTCCCTCTCTCTCTGACCCTCCCCTGCTCACGCTGTCTCTCTCTCTCCTAGAAATAAATTTAAAAAAAAATTTAAAAAAAACCTATAAAATTTATTTCTGAGAGAGAGAGAGAGAGAGAGCGCAGGGGAGGGTCAGAGAGAGAGGAAGATACAGAATCTGAAGCAGGCTCAAGGCTCTGAGCTAGCTGTCAGCACAGAGCCTGACGCGGGGCTCGAACCCATGAACCGTGAGATCATGACCTGAGCCGAAGTCAGACGCTCAACGGACTGAGCCACCCAGGCACCCCTTTCTCTTTCTTTAAAAAATTTTTTTCTTAAATGCTTTTTACTTATTTCTGAGAGAGAGAGAGACAGCATGAGCAGGGGAGGGTCAGAAGAGGGGGAGACACAGAATCTGAAACAGGCTCCAGGCTCTGAGCTGTCAGTACAGAACCCAACACGGGGCTTGAACCCATGAACTGTGAGATCATGCCCTGAGCGGAAGTCAGACGCTCAACCGACCGAGCCACCCAGGCGCCCCTATGTTTGTCTCTTTCAATCTCTTTCTGTCTCTTTCTCTCCCTGTCTCTGTCTCTGCATACTTCTATGTTTCTGTCTCTTTCCATAGCTTCCTCTCTGTCTCTCTTGGTCTCCCTCGTCTCCATCTCTTCCTGTCTGTCTGTCTCTGGTCTCTCCGGACCCTTGATTTCTTTTCCTGTCTCTCTAACCACCTAAATTCCACTCCACTGCTCCCCCCCCTTCTCCAATCTCTCCCCCGCCTTTGTAGACTCCCCCAGGCTATTTTGGGGCCCAGGAGAGACTCCCTCCCATCCCCAGCCTCTCCCCGAGGTGCTGGGCCCTCTCAGACCCCTCTCCCTCTCCACTCCGCCAACCGCCAACCGAGCCTTTCCCAGGACCCAGAGGGCGCCAGGAATGTGGGGCAGAGAGCAAGGAGGCCAGCTGGAGGCCAGGGAGCCGGGACCCCTCCGGGTCACCCCTTCTCCTAGACTTGCCTCCTTCCAGCCCCTTGGTCCTGGTCCTGGCCTCCCCCCACTCCCTGCCTCTGCTGGGGCCTCTGGGCCTCAGTTTCTCCTCTGCAAAGTGGGCAGACTCACCTCTGCCCCGCTTATCTGCTAGGCCCCAGGGGAGTGTGTGCTCCTGAATGTTACTAGTTGATTAATGTGCATGGAGCACGTCGTGGTTTGTACTAATGAGGGATTTGCACGCTGGGAACTGGGACTCGGTTTCTAAGGCGTCCCGCCCCCCCCCCACCCCGTACAGACGTTTTTAGGCAAAGGGAGAGACTGGAAGTGGGAGACCCCGCAAAGGCGTGTGATTCCGTGGTGATGGGGACCATGAGACCCTGTGTGTCTGTGAGGCTTAGTGTGATGGTGTGACGATGGCATCACGGTGAGTGATGTGCATGTGACCGTCTGGGACTTGTGAGTGCAGGTGAGGGTGTGATGCAGAGTCGTGTGCCTGTTCCGCCATGGCGCTGGGGGTGACAGTGTGGCCATGTGATGACCGTGGGCATGTGTGCCTTAGTGACCCCTGGGGACTGTGTGTTCTCGGGAGGTGACTGTGGGCTCCGGTGACTTAAGTGAACACTAAGAGCCTTGGTGGGTATGCTTGTGTGACTTTCTGTGTCACCTGCAGGCTGTGGCATTAAAGGATTATGTGACAGGGTGAAGAGCCACATCGAGGGTGTTTATGCCATCGACATTCATTCTTGGAGCCTCTGCTCTATCCCCAAACTGGTGCCGAGTGACACTGGGAACACAGTGGTGACCACAATGCCCTGACTGGGTCCTCAAGGTGCCACAGGCCAGTTGGAGGGACAGAAGGTGTTTGCGACATGACTAGTGATCGTGTGACGGTGCAAGTGACTGACACAGTGTCCCCAGGGCTTTGTGAGGATGTGATTGGGTTGCTAGGTGAGCGGAGGGGTCTGCACTCGGGGTGCACGTGACTGTCTCACTGTGGATTACTGTCAACCTGTGGGGAAGAACCTAGGCTCTCTGAGTGTGACCGGAGATTGCATGGCTGTAAATGACCGGCAGAGAAACATTCAGGGAGACACAGTGTGTGACTCTGGGCTGTGCCTCTCCATGGCTCAGTGCGTGGGACTTCGTGTGACATTGTGAGTGGCTGTGTGACTGCACTTGTGTGCTATGGCTGGGTGCGATGGGTGGGACAGCGTGACAGACGGTGACCCCCGCCTCCCCGACTGCTCTTCCACGTGACCTTGAGCGACTTTGATACTCACATGCCACTGGCCCCCTGCTCCGGGTCTCTGCCCCAGAGCTCCCCCTCCTTCCTACTCCCCGGCCCCGCCCTCTCCCACCACCCCAGGCTGTCACCTCCTCCAGAGCCCTGGCGAGGCAGTGGAGGCAGCAGCAGAGGCAGCCTCGTCCCGGAGTGAGTGGCCAAGAGCAGATCTGGGGACTGGTGAGGGCTCCCCCAATTCCAACCCGTTCCCCTGCCCCCCACGTCCCACTCAAGTCTCTGGATCCCTCTGTTTCTTAACCCATGCCTTCCTCTCTTTGTCTCTCTGTGCCCACAAGCTCTATCCCCCTGTCTGTCTGTCTGTCTCTGGGTATCTCTGTCTCCATGTCTCCCAATCTCTGTGCAGCCTCTGGATGGCTCTGTTTCTATACCTTTATCTCTCCTTGCCCCGTTCTCTGTGTCTCTCTCCATGTCTCCATCCCCTCTCTGTCTCCTCTCCCACATTTTTGTCTGCCTTTTTCTGTCTTTTGCTCTCTGGTCTCTTGCTGTGTGTCTCATTCTGCTCTGTCTCTGTATTTCTGTTTCACCCATTTCTCCGGCTCCATCTGAGATCTTCCCTGCTTCCCCCTCTCCCTGCATGGTGCTGTGTGCGAGGTATGGGGGTTAGACGGATTTCCAGGCATCTGGGTCCCCGCAGACCTACGCCCAGGAGCTGACTCCTCTCAAGTCCCTAGGGAGAGGGTTGGTCCTCTGACTTGGCTTTTTCCAGATGGGGCAAGTCCTATAAGGTCGAGTTCCTATCTGTCATGTGAAAACCCTTTGGGGTGGGAAAGTGGGGACTCCCAGGGTCATTTCAAGCCCCGTGCCTGATGATCTCGGTGACCTCTTCTCCCAGACAGCCCCCAGGCTTCCCAGAGTCTCTAGGTCTAGACCCCGGGTGACATTAGCGCTTCCGCCTGGAGCTGCTCTTAGGCAACCGCCCTCCCTCTGCAAACACCCCCCTTCCACCGCCGCTGCCCCAGCAACAGTTGGGGGCGGGCCTGGGAATCACGTGTTGGGTCTCGGCCTCGCCCACTCTCCCCCCTACCCCTCAAGCCATCACTCGTGGGAGCGGGGCGGGTGGTGCCTCCCAGTCCGCAAGCATGAATCCCACAGCCGGTGGCGCTGGGGCTGGAGGGGAGGGCGGTGGCTCCTGACTCTGCCCCCTGCCCCTCCAGGCCGGACTGCCCCTACGTGCCCCTGGGTCCCCCCCACCCCATGCCTCACCGCCCTCACGATGCTGAACGGTCCGCCTTGGCGGCTGCTACTGCTACTCTGGTCGTGGGGCCCGCTGCTCCGGAGGGCGGAGGTGAGGACCCCGAGGAGCCCCAGGACTTCAAGCCTGGGAGGGAGGCCTGGGGACGGTTTTAAGTGTTCTCCCCCACTGCAGAGGGAGTTGTAAGGCTGCGCCACCTGTCCAGATTCAAGTTGTTTCCCATCTCCCTTCTTTCTCCTTCAAATTCCCCTGATGATTTCCAGCCACTCCCCCGAATTTTCCGAAGTTTTTCAACCCTGCCCACCGCCCCCCCCCCAACTTCCTGGTCTAGGCACCCCTGTGAAGACTTAGAAGAGGTTTCTAAGCCACCCCGAGCCTCCCGGACAAAACAGGGCAGCCTCTTCAAGTCCCTGCGGGGCGTTTTTGGCCCACACGAACCACGCTGCCTGGGAGTGGGGGTTGCGCGTGGGGGGGGTCCTCCCTCCTCTCTTTCCATAGACAGGCTCTGTGGGGCAGACGGCGGGGGAGCTGTACCAGCGCTGGGAACGGTACCGTAGAGAGTGTCAGGACGCCCTGGAGGCCATGGACCCCCCAGCAGGTGTGCCTGGAGGCGGGGCTACGACCGGGGGGCGGGGCCTGAAGGAAGTCTGGGGTAAAGGGGGGCTGGGTCGGAGACGCCTGGGTGATGCTTGGCTCCTAGACCTGAGTGCTTTGGGGGACTGGGGTGTAGCTCGTGTTAGTGGGAGACGCCTGAGAAGCGACTTGAAATGGGCGGGGCTTGGCACGGGACTGCATCCGATGGGTGGAGCCTAAAGTGCCCAGCGAGGGGGCGGGGCCTGGGCCTGGTGGGCGGAGCTGTGGCAGACCACGCCCTGCGGGCAGGGGTAGGGCGGAGCTTGCTCCTGGAAGGCCGAAAAGCCTCGCTGGGGGCGGCTGGTCCACCCGACCCCTGGCCCCCGCGCCCCCCCCCAGGCCTCGCCTGTAACGGGTCCTTCGATATGTACGTCTGCTGGGACTACGCTGCACCCAACGCCACCGCCCGTGCGTCCTGCCCCTGGTACCTGCCCTGGCACCGCCACGGTGAGGTGGCCCCTAGACCCCGGGCCCTCCCCTGACAAAAATAGCTCCTAACCCTGCCCAGACACCACTCGCCCGAAGCTCGCCTACACTTGATCTCTTGCTCCTCTCTGTCCCGCTGGGCGTCTCCTGCCTGACCAACCCTGGCTCTGTCACTTAATGCCCCTTCTCTGTCTCTGTTTCTCTCTGAGGACCACTGGGTTCTTATTGTCTCTCTTTTTCCTTTCCCCAAGTCTGTCTTTGGGCGTCTTGATCTCCCTTGAACTAGCTATGTGGCCTAGAGCAATTTATTTAATCCCTTTATGCCTCAACTTCCTCATCTGTAAAATGGGGTTGATAATAGTACTCTTGTCTTTCCGTGTCTGTCTCTCTCTTTCTCTGTACCTCTGACCCCCTCCTTTGTTTCCCACAGTGGCTGCAGGCTTTGTCCTCCGCCATTGTGGCAGTGATGGTCAATGGGGACCTTGGAGGGACCACTCTCAGTGTGAGAACCCAGAGAAGAATGGGGCCTTTCAGGTAGGGAGCGGTGAGCGATTCAGGTGAGGATGTGCACGGAGAGATGAAAAGGCAGCTGCCTGGGGCAGAGCCTGACACCCCTTGTACTGCTGAAGATAGAAACCCAACTTAAACTTGCCGGATGGAGAAAGAAAGAGAAATGTGTATTGGCTTCTGTGATTGAAAAGCATTAGGCCAGTTTCAGGAACAGCTGGATTTAGGGGCTCAGCTGATGTTGTTGGGAATCTCTTTGTCTCTCACTACACCATGACTTTGTTTTTCTCTGTGCTGGTCTCATCTTTTCTGGGGGGTGAAGTGTGGTCCCCATTAATGAGCCCCAGGCTCATGTCCCACCAAGCACGCAAGACCGTGGAGAGACTGGATTTTGTTCTCAATAGCTCTAACGTGATGCCCCAGGACTGACACTTAGTGGCCCCGTTTGGGTCACGTCCGTCCTGCACGCAGTGTGTGTGTCTGTGCGCATAGGACGTTATATAGATGCTCTGATTGGCTGGCTGGTCACGTGCTCGGCCCTGGACCGAGGGGTGGAGTCAGCCTGGCTCAAGCAAGGGTAGTTGGATCCCCACGGGGAAATTGGGCTGCTGGGCAGGAACAAAAAATAGGGCGCCTTGCTGGCCTGCCGGGAGCACTGAACTCGGTTCCCGTGTCCCCCTATCCTTCTGCACCCCACCCCCACCCTGGCTTAGGATCAACGGCTGATTCTGGAGCGGCTGCAAGTCATGTACACCGTGGGCTACTCCGTGTCCCTGGCCGCACTGCTGCTAGCCTTGGTCATCTTGGGTTTCTTCAGGTGGGACCCCAGGCCTGAGCGGCAGCGGCAGACACTGGGCCTCAGGTTGCCCAGTCCGATGGGGTGGTCAGACTCCACTCCCCACAAGCATCCGACAAAGCGGTTCTGTGGGAAGGGCTGGGAGGTGATTTAAGGGGATCTATGCAGCCATGGACAGGTCTCCGGGGGTCCCCAGACTGCCTCCCAAATCCCCCAGGCGGCTGCGCTGCACTCGAAACTACATCCACATCAACCTGTTCGCGTCTTTCATGCTGCGGGCCGCCGCCATCCTCACCCGAGACCGTTTGCTACCTCCCGCTGGCCCCTACCCTGGGGACCCAGCCCCTGTCCTGTGGAAACCGGTGAGCAGCTCCTTCTCTTTCTCACCTTGGGGTTCTGCCTTCTCTGGTGGGGCCAAGAGGTTGCCAGTCCACATATTATGTCCTACACTATGTTTCTCTGTCTTGATCTCTCCAGACACATCTGGAGAGCGGCCCTCCCTACTCAGCCTCATCCATCATTGACCCCATCACCTCCTCTATGGGGCGTCTGCATTCCCTTTCTCTCATTATCTCACCCCTCCCCGGACTTTCCCACCAAGGAGAGAGTCCCCTTGCTGGAGGTGGGGGGGTGGCAGGATGGGAGAAACTAACTGGGCGCGGGGGCGGGTTCGGTAGATACCAATTTGTTATTGAGAGACAAAGGTGGGAGAGGCTAGGGCCGCCTGGGTGGCTCAGTCAGTTAAGCGTCAGACCTCGGCTCAGGTCATGATCTCATGGCTCGTGGGTTCAAGCCCCGCGTCGGGCTCTGTGATGACAGCCAGCTCAGAGCCTGGAGCCTGTTTCGGATTGTGTATCTCCTTCTCTCTCTGACCCTCCCCTGCTCTCTCTCTCGCTCTCTCTCAGAAATAAATAAAACATTAAAAAAAATAAAAAATAAATAAAGGTGGGAGAGGCTAGGGTCTGGGGGCCCGGCTGAGAAAACTTTCTGGCCGTGAGTTGGGCCGTATCACTTGTTAAGAAGCCATGGGGTGAGAGAGGCCATTCTTGGGGGGGGTTGGGGGGCGACTCTGACAAGCAAGATGGAAGATACCAATTGTTAAAGAGGTTAAGAGTGGGATAGCTCACCCAGAGGAAGAGAACCGAGGAGAGAAGTCAAGTACAGACACTGTCCTCTGGCAAACGGGAGGTCACTATGTGACTGCAGGGGATGCGGGAGGAAGGCTTGGGGACCCCCTGGAGGCCTTGACTGCGCCCTCCCCCGTTTGCCCCCCCCCCAGGCCCTAGCTGCCTGCCGCACGGCCCAGATCGTGACCCAGTACTGCGTGGGCGCCAACTACACGTGGCTGCTGGTGGAGGGTGTTTACCTACACAGTCTCCTGGTGCTTGTGGGAGGTTCCGAGGGGGGCCACTTCCGCTGCTACCTGCTCCTCGGCTGGGGTGAGCCCCGACCCTGCCCCTGCCCAGCCCAGCGCGCCTCCTCCACTCCCCCGACTCTCCCGCTGGGCTACCTCAGGGGGTCTCCTCCCCTTGCTGGGTTTCTGCCTCCCCGCCCCAGCGGGGGAAATTCCGCGGGTCTTGGGCCTGGCGGGGCCCGTGCGCGCGCTGACGGCTGCGGCGGGGTGGGGGGCGGGGGTCGGGGTCTGCACAGGGGCCCCCGCGCTTTTCGTCATTCCCTGGGTGATCGTCAGGTACCTGTACGAGAACACGCAGTGAGTCTTGGGGTCTGGGGTGGGGCCTGGGAGGTGGGCGGAGCTTTGAGGGACGCGGGCGGATTGTGATGGAAACGGGGGGAGGGGAGGGTCCGATGGCATGTAGGGGCTTGGAGGGAGAGTGGGTGGGATCGAAAGGAGTGGGGTGCTAGGAAAGATTGTGTGCGGGAGCCGGGAGAAGGATGAGGGCGGGGCCTGGGCCGTAGGGGGCGGGGCTTTAAAGGAACATGGGTGTGGCGTTAAGGGAAGTGGGCGGAGCTGGCGAAAGGGTGTGCGTGGTCCGGAGGGTCCTGGGGTTTGCTCTTAGCTCTACTCCCCCTTCCCCCAGGTGCTGGGAGCGGAACGAAGTCAAGGCCATTTGGTGGATCATACGCACCCCTATCCTCATGACTATCTTGGTAAGGACGGCCCTGCCTCCTCCGGGCCATCCTCTGACATTTCCCACCCTGGGAAACTGGGCGCCACCCTCTGTCCCCGGGGACCTGGATGGGGCTGGCTCAGCCTCTGTCTCTCCTTGCAGATAAATTTTCTCATCTTTATCCGCATTCTTGGCATCCTTGTGTCCAAACTGAGGACGCGACAGATGCGCTGCCCCGACTACCGGCTGAGGTGCGGCAGGGTGGCGGAGACGGAGGGAAAGCGGCGGGGTGCGAGATGGAGGAGGACCTGGGGCTGAGGGACCCCCCCCGTCCCCCCGCCACCCTCTACCCCCAGGCTAGCTCGCTCGTCGCTGACGCTGGTGCCCCTGCTGGGCGTCCACGAGGTGGTGTTTGCTCCCGTGACGGAGGAACAGGCCCGGGGTGCCCTGCGCTTCACCAAGCTCAGCTTTGAGATCTTCCTCAGCTCGTTCCAGGTGCTAAGGCGGGGTGCAGGGGGTACGCCGTTGACCCGGGGCCCTCCTCCCCAGAAGGGGCGTGGGGGGGCTACAATCGTCCACCGATGCAGCCACTGAATGGGGTGTGGACATAGGACATGTTCTTCCATTCTGCGCGGGGTACTGAGCTAGCTCCGTCCTGAGTTGGGGAGGCAGCAGGCACCCGGACAGTAGACCAGGTGGCTCAGCAGTACTGCCTCCTGGCGACGAGGGGGGGCTTTGCAGCCGCACACGGTTTCCCACCTCCGTGCCCTTCACCTAGAGTCTGAGCTAGGGTGGGGCGGCCGAGGTGCCTGAGCGCAAAATGTAAGGAGGCGCTCACTCCGGAATTTAGGGCCAACCCTGCACTTGCTTGTCCTGCCGCAGACGCCACGCTGCTTTTCCTTGTTGGGCCTCAGTTTTCCCATCTCTAAATGGGAACAACAGTAATCTCACCGCACAAGGCTGTTCATTCATTAAGTTCAGCAAAAACCTATTGAACTCTTACTCGGTACCAAGTCATCTTCCAGCCTTACAATGGGGATACGGCCAAGAACTAAACAGTTCCTACCCTCTAGTGGGGAGAGACAGATGCTAAACATGCCATAGGAGTAAAATCTACAGTATGCCACATGGGGAGATGTGCCTAGAAGGAAATAGAGGAGCAGACAAAATATGGGGTTATAGACAGGGGGTCAGGGAAGGCCTCGCTGAAAGAAGACAGACATTGGAGGTGAGGGAACGAGCCAGGGAGATAGTCGGGGGAAATATTCCAGGAAGAGAAAAATCGAGTGCAAGATCCTTGACGTGGGAGAGAGCACCTTTCATGGTGGAAGAAGGCCAATATGCCTGAAGTGGTGGGAGCCAGAGGGAGCGAGGGGGAGACAGCACAGAGAGGTGAGGTATCCTAGGGATCCTGGGCCAAGTGAGTACCTTGGCTTTTCCTTAAGTGGGTCGGGAGCCAGGGGAGAGGCATGTGATCAGACGTAGATTTTATTTTAAAAAATTATTTTATTAAAGATTTTTAAATGTTTATTTTTATTTTATTTATTTATTTCTAGGAGAGAGAGAGACAGTGTGAGCAGGGGAGGGTCAGAGAGAGAGGGAGATACAGACTCTGAAACAAGCTCCAGGCTCTGAGCTGGCAGTCAGCACAGGGCTGGATGCGGGGCTCGAACCCACGAACCGCGAGATCATGACCTAAGCAAAAGTCGGACGCTTAACCGACTGAGCCACCCAGGCGCCCCCGTTTATAAGTCTTAGGTACAATTAATTTATTAACAACCATATGTAATATGGCATTTAAACGCTATTTGCTACCTCAGTTCTCACAGTCACCACTATATTATTTCCCCATTTTCCAGATGAAGAAACTGAGGCACAGAGGGGTGAGGCACTTGCCCAAGTGGGTTAGAAAGGGGCAAAAAGGTATCGAATTGGCAGCCTACCTACAGCGGCCCCCTGTTCTGAACCTGATTGCTCAGCAAACCTGGGAGGGTGAAGGAGGAGGGGGAGGGGGTTCCGAAGCCAGGGCTAAGGTGACTGAAATAGTCCAGGATCAGGGTGGCGGAGGCCAAGCTGGTTTGGGACCTGGAAGGGGTCCGAGCCCTTTAAGGGGGTAGCTGTGATCCTGCCCCCACTCTCGACTTAACTGTACCCTCTCACCCCCTCCTTCTGGCAGGGCCTCCTGGTCAGCGTGCTCTACTGCTTCGTCAACAAGGAGGTAGGGACCGCCCCGGCTCGCCGCTCGCGCCCTCTGGTGGCCGCGCCGGGAACGGCGGCCCCGGGGCCACCACTGAGCAATGTCCCCTTTGCAGGTGCAGTCGGAGATCCGCCGCTGCTGGCATCGCTGTCGCCTGCGCCACAGCCTCGGGGAGGAGCAGCGCCAGCCACCGGAGCGCGCCTCCAGGACCCAGCGCTCGGGCTCAGGCCCCTGCCGAGTCGCCACTGACCGCACCCTATCCTTGGGGACCCTCCCAGGGCCTGGGAATGAGGCCAGCCGGGTCTTGGAAAGTTACTGCTAGGCAGCGGTCCATTTCAAGTTAGCACGTATTTATTGAGCGCCCACCGTGTGCCGGGTACCGTGTGGAGGGCACTGGGGAAATTGGGGCTGGGGTGGGAGGGGGGAAACAGAAGACAAGGTCCCTGTTAGCGTTCACAACTGAGTGAGGAAAACGGGGAGGACAGAACGTCAAGTTATACGTTCACTGTGAAATGGCTAGTGAAGAAAAACTAGAAGGGAGCCTAAGGTGATCCAGAAGGTTCTCTGTCTCTGAGGCAACACTTCTTTGAGGGGCATTGAAGAGTCCTGGCAGGAGTGTCTCATGGGCTAATTTTTTAAATATTTATTTTGAGAGAGAGAGAGAGAGAAAATATCCCAAGCAGGTCCTCGCTATCAGCTCAGAGTGCCGTGCAAGGAATCCCACGAGCCATGAGATCGTGACCTGAGCTGAGATCAAGAGTCAGATGCTTAATGGACTCAGCCCCCCAGGCGCCCCTGATGGGCTGTTTTCAGCAGATCTTCTGTCTGCCACGTGAGGGCAGGAGTGGCGGCTGCAGAGGGGGGTGAAGCGGTCGGACACCACCGCTAGTTTAAAGGTAGTACTGAGGACTGGTCAATGTGTCGCATGGCGAAGTGCAGCCAGAAGTCCAACCAGATGCTGAGGTTTGGGAGGGTGGAGAGGAAAGAGATAGGGAGATGGGGGTTCGGGGTGGCGAGAGCTGAGTGCCCTCTGGACATGTTAGGCTGGGCTGAAGGATTTGGGGCTCGCAGGGGGGGAGAGAGAAATAGAAACGGGGGTGGAGCGTTGGGCCAGCAAGGACTTGGCCTGTAGACTAAACAGGAACCATTCGGGGTGGGCCTCTGAGTGGAAACCAGGACCACTGCCGGCTGGGGGTGCAGCCGGACAGCCCCACCCTCCTGGGCGGCCCTGGGAACAGGGAGATCGGGGGATGCCGACAGCCTCACTGTGTCCGGACCACCTGTACACACCCTGGACTCTCACTTCCAAACCTGCCCCCCACTCGCATCTGTGTTTAGATTCAGTTAGTAGCTGGGTGTTTTCCTTGGGGTCCGCAGTCCCCTGGCCAGATGGGCCCCGTAGCTGCTGAACGGAGTCCTTCAAGCATGTGGAGCCGCTGGGACCCCTTGTGGGCTTCGGGGGGTGCTCTAAAGCAGGGAGCTTGTAAATAAAGCATGAGAAACACCTGGGTCATGCGAATGGGGAGGGGTGGGAGAATCTTCCAGGCTGGGCCCGCAAGAGAAATGAGGCAGGCTGTGTGGCCGGTGTCCCTGGTGGCCTTGCGGCCTCTGGAGGGGGGCTCCAGCCACGTGCTGCCACCGCCCCCACACCTGAGAGAAACCCCTACTGGGAGTGGTTATGCGATCTCCCGATACTCCACTCTCTGCAATGTGTACAATTAAAGTTACGTGTGTGCTCCTAACGTTTTCTGAGGACTGCGTCTCTAAAAGTTATAGTCAAGATTACAGAAACGAGCCTGGGTGAAACCTAGTTTGGGTGATTAGCTGCGGGACTTGGGAGAAAATTCCCAACCCCTCTGTGCCTCAGTTTCTGCTTCTGCAAAGTGGGTACAACGGTGGCACCTACATTCCATGGTTGACTGGGATTCTGGCAAGTTATTCCCTACAATCTCCTGCTTTCACTTTCACCCAGTGAAGCAACGGGTGGTTGGAAACCATTTGGGCAGGGGTGGGTGAAGAGGTGAGGAAACTCCAGACTGATGCCAAGCAGGGTGCCTGAGGTCAGGGCTCCTGCTGCCAGCCTGCAGGGAACCCACTTCCCATTCCCTGGGGAGGAGAAGTCACCAAGAAGCGGGAGGCAGGGCAGGGAAGTGAATGTCCTAGCCACCGCACAAGAATTGAATCCTTGCAGGGGTGGGGAGCGGGGTGGGAGTATCTCCTGCAGCCATACCACTGCCCCTGCATTACAGATAATTTGGCTCCATCATTTCCTGAGTGACCATGGGCAAGTCACTTCCCCTCTCTGGGCCTCAGCTGTCTCACCTGTAAAATGGGATGGCACTAGCGTCCACCCACCAGACGCCTGTCCCAGTTAGACGTGGAACACTCAGTAAACGTGCGCCTTTATAACCCTGCAGCTGTCGCGCCTTCTCCTGCGGCGGGGTCCCTTGCTGTCACTAGTGGACTCCTGGAGTGACTCGGGATGTGCCTTGCACATCTCATTTTGTCCTCATCCTGACCTGAGGCCTACGAACTCCTGGCCCACCTGGGGTTTGGCCCCTTCTGGGGAACAGAGTGAGAGACGAAAGGCAGAGACAGAACAGAGACTGGGGGGGGAGGTGTGCAGCACAATGTGTGCGTGTCAGAGGAAGACAAGGGCCTTCCTTACCCCCCTCCCCACAGTGAGCCCCAGCCTCCCCAGCTCCATCTCCCTACATTTGTCAGAGAATTTCCCCCGGGGGCAACCAAGTTTTGATCTGAGGGCCAAAGAGCTCCAGGTTGAGCCCCCGACCCAGGGGCAGGGGGGTGTGGACGGCACCGCTTCCTGGCGGGGCACCTCTGGACCTCCCAGTTCCCTCCTCTGGAAGCGGAGGCCAGAATTAACAGCGCCCGCTCACAGGGGCGGACAGGGAGGCTGAGCGGCCCGGGGGCCGGGACCTGGCGCCCTGACAGCGCGGCGGGCGGCAGCCGCGGTCACTATAGCTGTCTGGGGCCCGACTGCTGCCAATGGTCCCCCCCTGGCGAGGGCAGGTCGGGACTCTCCTGGGTACTGCCATGTCCTCAGCACTGCAACACGGGCCCGCCACAGGGCAGGCTCTTGGGGGCCTGTTTCCTGGCTGAACAAATGGAAAACAAGACTGAAAGCAATTCTGAGTTAGACCCCAACTTCCTGAGAGAGAGATGCGGCGGTGAGAAGCAGGTAGAAAAGATGAAGGCGGAAGAGCAAGCTCTCTGCATCCCATCTGCTCGTTTCACAGACGGGAAAAGTGAGGCCTGGACGGGGCAGAGACAGGACCTCTTTGCCTGCTCAGAGAGGTCCCGGCCCCAGTGCCCAGCTGCCTCCGTCCCCCCGAGTCGGCCTCGCTCTCAAGGCTCTGGGACCAGACAGTTGCTACTAAAAAAGACGCAGGGCTTTATTTCTTCCGTTACACAGGTGGCTCTCCGCAGGACGGGGAGGGGGGGAGCTCCGGCGGTGGCGAGGACGCCCCTACTTGCCGGCGATGAGCGGGTTCCGCAGGACCACAATGACCGAGTCGCCGCGCAGGAACATCTTGGAGATGTAGCGGTCCTTGTTGACTGGCTTGGACTTCTTCTTGCCCTTGCCGCTCTTGGGGACCTCGGTCCACATCTCCTTCACGTTCTCCAGCACCATGTTGCAGTGCCTGGTGGGGGCAGAGGGCACCAACAGTGAGGTGGGAGCCTCCCGCCCGCCCTTCTTCCGGCAGCACCACGTGGGAGAAGGTGCGGGCAGGGGCCCAGGACTGCGGGGGCTCCCGCGCCACCTCTGCAAGTCCCCGGGTTGATGCTGGGGCAGTGAACTCCGCCCCTCTGTGCCTCAGTGTCTTCCTCTCTAACATGGAGCCATGCACAGCACCTCCCTCCTACAGTGTCCTGGTTAACTGAATCAATGCAGAGGCGCCTGGGTGGCTTGGTCAGTTAGTATCCTCCTCCTGAGTTCGGCTCATGGCATGATCCCCAGGTCATGGGATCGAGTCCCGCATCAAGCTGAATGTGGAGCCTGTGTGGGATTCTCCCTCCCTCTCTCTGCCCGTCCCTGCTCTCTTTCTAAAATAATTAAAAAAAAAAAAAAATCAGTACAGCATTCTTGTCAAGACTCAGGACAGGGACCGGCCCAGGATAAAGGCAAGCAAAACGGGTCAAGCGCTTCTAAAGGCACCAGCGGGGACGCTGCTTCTCTTTAGAGAACCAGGGGCCTATGGTGACACGCCACCTGCACCGCAGTCCTGCTTAGGGCGCCAGGGACCCACCTGTGACGACGGGACGGATTAGCTCCCTTGACAAACGCGTGCGAGGAACACAGCAGTGAAAGAAACAGAGGGTGTCCTGGCCCTGACGGTGTGCCCGTCCCAGCGCGGACAGAAGGGTGCTAACTAAGCGAGTCAACGAGCGGACCAGAAGTGCCGCCGGGTTACGTCAGCTGCTACGAAGAGCAGCTAAAGCTGGGTGAAGGGACGGAGGGCACGAGGAAAACGTGAGCACGCTGCAAGGAGAGAGGAAAATCGTGGATGGGGGGAGGGGGGAGATGGGCATAGAGGAAGGCACTTGTGGGGATGAGCACTGGGTGTTATATGGAAACCAACTTGACAATAAACTGTTTGTTAAAAAAAAAAAAAACCTGGGGGGGAAAAAAAAAGAAAATCGTGGAGAAGAGCTGGGAAGTTCTGGGCCTTGCGACGCGGTGCCATCCGGGGGGACTGCTGGGTGGCAAAGGCCAGGCATGCACGGAGGGCGAGCTTCTGAAGGGAAGGAGGAGGACAGGAGATGGCTACGCCCCCGGCCCCCCCCCCCCCGGCCCCCTCCCCGGGCTGGCCTGTGCGGTGCAGAGTCCTGGAAGACGCCCGGGAACTGGCGGCAGTAGGGTGACCTAGGTGGCCTGGGGACAAGCTGGATGGAAACTTGCCACTGGAGTGCTGCTACGGGTTTCGGAATGACACGACTACATTAGCAAGTCAGAAAAAAACAATTAAAAAAAAAAAAAAAAAAGGCAGCGTATCATCATGGAAACAATCCTGAGGTGTATGCTGTGCTGTTAAGGGAGAAAGCCGAGGTCTAAACCTGTGCGGTGTGCCGTTAGCACTGATATTTATTTTTTAAAGTTTATTGTTTTCTTGAAGGGGGGGTGCACATGCGGGAGGGGCAGAGAGAATCCCAAGCAGGCTCCGCACGGTCAGCGCAGAGCCCGACACGGGGCTCAATCCCGTGAACCGTGTGATCATGACTTGAGCTGAAATCAAGAGTCGGAGGCTTAACCAACTGAGCCCCCCAGGCACGCCAGCAGTGATTTAAAACTAGAGACAACGCACCCTCCACGACCGGTCTGCACGATGACACATGAGACCTGAGGGATTTGCCATGGAGGGCTTCCTGGGGAGGGCCGCCGGGGGGCTGGGCGCCTCTGTACCTGCTAAATTTTGCCCCAACGGCACACACTGCTCCCTCGAGAAAGTGACATAATTAATATAATGAATAAGGGGGTTAAGAATGTCTTCACTGACCTGCAGGGATGTTCTCAGGCTGCCGCTACAGGTGAAAAACAAGATGCAGAAGAGCACATGGAAAATTCTATCTTAAAAACAATTTACAACGACAACATGTCAAGGAGACCTCAATAAAGCTGTTAGCAAACACCACAAAGGAGTCCGTGTGTGTGTGTGTGTGTGTGTGTGTGTGTAATGTGGCAGGATACGTACTACAGTGAAAGACTGATCTATGTAATATATAAAATCTATCACATGTGGGGCACCTGGGTGGCTTAGTCGGTTAAATGTCCGACTCCAGCTCAGGGCATGATCTCACAGTTCGTGAGTTCGAGCCCCATATCGGGCTCACTGCACAGAGCCTGCTTCAGCTCATCTGAACCCCTCTCTCTCTGCTCACGCTTTTTTTTTTTTAAATATTTTTATTTATTTCTAGGAGAGAGAGAGAGACAGCGTGAGCAGGGGAGGGTCAGAGAGAGAGGGAGATACAGACTCCGAAATAGGCTCCAGGCTCTGAGCTGGCAGTCAGCACAGAGCCCTATGCGGGGCTCAAACTCACGAACCGCGAGATCATGACCTAAGCGAAAGTCGGATGCTTAACCGACTAAGCCACCCAGGCGCCCCTGCTCACGCTTTCTATCTCAAAAATGAATAAACACTTAAAAAACGTATCACGTAATAATACATATGTATACGTAATAAAACATATATTATACATATATAAGTAGACCACCCCCTACTGAGCGCTTACCAAGCGCGCAGGCCTCTTCTGAGCCCTGACCGGGCAGTCCTCACTGCAACTCACCCCCAAGAGGTACACACTAGTGTCCTCTGCAGCTTCCAGAGCAGGACACTGGGCTCAGCGGGATGACATTTTAGAAGTGGCAGAGCTGGTGTTCAAGGCCAGTCTACCTGCGTCCTTGGGCTCAGGTCTCCTTCTCAGTCTCCTTGAGAGGAAACTGAGGCTCAGAGTGAAAGACTTAATCATGGTCAATAAACAGCTTAGGGCAAAAACATTCTAGAATTACGCTTCACCACACACTACGTTCCCAAATGCTGACCAAAGGCCGTGGGTTATGTGTTCCCTGAGCATTTATCGCATGAGCTACTGAGCCAGATACTCTTCGTACAGAAATACTTCGTCCTCACATCTGTTCCACGAGTATTTTTATGATGCACGTTTTGCAGAGTAGGAAACTGAGGCTCAGAGAGGCAAGGTCACTTGCTGTTCCCTCTGGCTGAAAACACTCAGATCCCAGCGTGCTCTTTCATTTTATTCAGGTGTTCACCACTGCCTCTTTGTAGGGGGACGCTTGCGTCACCGTCTAGGACAGCACCCCCTTCCCAGCATTCCATGCTCTTACCTGCCTTTACTTTTCTCACAACACATTACCCATGTGCCTGCTGTCCGCTTCCCTACCTACAGCGTGAGCTCTCTGAGCCATCTTTGCTTTAGTCACTGCTGTGTTTCTGGAGCCTACAGAAGTACCAAGCAAGGGTACCCGATGTTATACATTCTGTGTGTTAGCTGCAAACACTGTCTAAGAGCTTCCTGTGTGCCAGAAAAAAAAAATTTTTTTTTTAATTTTTTTTTTTTTTAATGTTTTATTTCTAGGAGAGAGAGAGAGACAGCGTGAGCAGGGGAGGGTCAGAGAGAGAGGGAGTCACAGACTGAAACAGGCTCCAGGCTCTGAGCTGGAAGTCAGCACAGAGCCCGACGCGGGGCTCGAACCCACGAACCGCGAGATCATGACCTAAGCGAAAGTCTGACGCTTAACCGACTAAGCCACCCAGGCGCCCCCCCCCAAAAAATTTTTTTTTAATGTCTATTTATTTTTGGGATAGAGAGACAGACACAGCACAAGTGGGTGAGGGGTAGAGAGAGAGGGAGACACAGAATCGGAAGCAGGCTCCAGGCTCTGAGCTGTCAGCACAATGCCCGACTCGGGTCTCGAACCCATGAACTGTGAGATCATGACCTGAGCCAGATTCAAGAGTCGGATGCTTAACTGACTGAGCCCCCCGGGTGCCCCACCAGATGCTGTGCTTCTAAGGACCTGATGAGATGCCGCATGTGTTAAGTCAAAGAATCTTTGCCGCCACCAGAATTACTGCTGCCGTGTGGAAGAGAGAAAGTGACTCGATGGACATCTCGCAGCGGCTGGAAGAGGCAGCGCTGGGACCCAAACCCAGGAAAACTGGCCCCCGAGTACGTGCCCGTTAACTACCGCACCGTACCACTGGAGGGGCAATGAGACACAGTCACACCTCGAGGTCTGAGGATGCTTAGGCCCCGCGACTCTGAGACCCTTGCGTCCGGGCTCCTCACGCTGGAGCTGGGGCTGCCTCTCCAGGCCTACGCGGAACACCTTCCGAGTCCCAGGCGCTCACCTGTCGAAGGCCTTCACGCGGCCCAGGAGCTTCTTGTTGTTGCGGCAGTTGATGAGCACTTGGGTGTTGTTCTTGACTGACTGCGTGAGCACGGACAGCGGACCCGTGTTAAACTCTTCTTCCTCCCGCTTCTGCAGCTCCTCGGGGGTCATCTCACTCTTGGGCTTGTTGAGGAGACTCCTGAGTGGGCAAGTATGGAGGCAGTAGGTGAGAGGGTCCAGAGCTGGGGCATGCGTGGTCACATAGCCTTGTACTTGGTGCCTTCCCGTACCACGCCCACTGACCCGCTATGTCCCTCTCCCTTGGCATCGCAACTCAGAAGCTTAATAGACATTTCCAACCTTACAGGTCCTCGGTTGAGCTCCAGATCTCCCAACCACTCCCCCCCCCCCGCTCCATCCAGAGCCTTCCCTGTTTCCATCCTTCTAGTTCCTTGAGCAAAAACTCTGATACCGACTTGGGTTCTTTTCTTTCACATCCTACATTCAACCTGCGGGCAAATCCTGTCATCTGCTTCTAAAAATACATCCGGAACCTCACCATTTCTAACCATGGCCTAAACCTCCACCATCTCGCTCCTCAGAGCCTTGCTTGTCTCTCTGTTTCCACCCATGCTCCTGGGCAGTCTGTTCTCCAGAGCAGTCCTGGATATTGCATCAAAACCTAAGTTATACCATTGCACTCTTCAAAACCCCGCCATGGCTCCCGTCTCTGTACAAAGTAAAATCCAGAAATTTTTTTTTAAACAATGTCCTGCATCTGCCCCCATCCCTCTGCTCCAGCCAGGGGCCTCCTAGGTAGTCCTTTAAGGTATTAAAGGTCCTTAAACTTTCATCTAGGGCCTCTCCATTTGTCTTCCCTCCGCCTGGATACCTCCCAGGTATCTCTGTGGTTCTCACTGTCTTCGGGTCTTTGCTCAAGTGTTGTCTTCTCAATGCGTCCTTCTGCACCCATTAAGTTACTCTCTCAAAACTGGCATTCCCTATTGTTTTTACCCTGCTCTATCGTTTTTCTACTCACAGCTCTGGTCACCCACCATGCCAAATACTTTACATGTTTAATATCAGTGTATTTACTGCCTGCCTCTTCCCACCCCAAAGGCTGCAGCGGAGGAATTTTCTTGCGGGGTGGGCGGTGCTACTCACTGATGGATCCCACGTGTCTAAAGCAGTGTCTGATACATGAGCACTCAAGGATTGATGAAAAAATAAACAATCGACGAAATCGTTAACGGTGACCCGTTAGCCGAAAAAGTCGCGAACAGGTGAAAAGCCAATTGTTTCCAGCTCTAACTTTCCGGATAAGTCCCATGCCTCAAGCCGTTATTTCTAAACCTCCGCACTCCCCTTTCCCAGGTTCTTCCCGTTAAAATCCTTTTCAATAAGATTAATTCTCTGGGAAAGCCCCTAGCCTATTATCTGACAAAGCTGCCTTCTCTCTCGAACTCAGGATCCATCAAGGGCCTCAAGCCCGCCCTCAAACTCATCGGTGGAAAGATGCGTACTTTACCCCTAAAATCTGCCGCCGTCCCGCCTCCGCCCATCACTGATAACAGACCACATTTACATCCTCAGCCCCCCTCCCGCCGCCAAAGCCTAGCCCGGCCTCACATGGTGGTAGTGGCTGCGTTCCTAGCTCAGCGCCGTCTACTCCGCGTTGCTGCTGCCTCTGAAGCCGGAGCTAGAGAAGGGACTTCCGTTTCCTGTGGGCCACTTCCGTCGGCGCCTGCGCAATCCCAACCAGAGGGCGGGGGCGTGGCCTGTTGCCATAGCGATCCGCGCCAGGCCTGCGCAGAGGTCGGGTAGAAGCCTTGCGTAGTGGTTCGAGGTCCTGTAGGACCGTACGGGGCAGATATTCACGACAATGGAGAGAAGAAACGGGTCCGACTCAAATCACTTCGTTGTAGAACCGCACAGGCTGAAGGAGGGAAAGGACACGCTATTCCAAATACCCGCCGGCCCCGCCTCCGGGGGCGCGGCCTCCGCGAAGCCAATCGGCTCCTCGCTTCAGGGATGGACACCGCCCCTTTTCCATTTGGGAAAGTTCTTTTACGGGTCTTACTGATCGTTCCGGCTCCGAGTAACCAATCCTTTGCCTTCATACAGGAGGGGCGTGGACCTGCGTTTAGGTCGAATGTTTTCCACGATCAGACATTTCTCATTGGTTTCTCTTCTTCCGCTGAGGTGGAGCTTATGCCTTTCGCGCTCCCTTTTGGGTTGTGCAACCCTCAGGGGACCAATCCTCAAAGCCCCAGGAGACAGGAAGGCGTGTTCTCAGAACGAGAGTCCCATTGGCTTCACCGGTAGAGAAAGGGTGGGATGGTGCAGTCGCTCTTCTCGTTCATTGGTTCCGTGATTCCATGGGGTGGGATTTGGCTGGGCCTAAACTCTCCGCGGTCCCGAACCGGTTTCAGAGCTAAGCTGCCATGCCTTCCGGGGGCCGCGGGCGGCCCCGGCTACGGCTCGGGGAACGTGGCCTCTTGGAGCCACCCTCACCGCCCAAGCGCCGCCTGCTACCGCGGGTGCATTTCTTGCCCCTGCTTCTGCTGTCCCTGGCCGTGGCCTCGGCGTTCTACACCATCTGGAGCGGCTGGCACCGCCAGACTGAGGAGCTGCCACGGGGACGGGAGCTGCGGGTGAGGCTGCGCAGGGGCACGGGTACCGGGGGAGGCTAATCCCCGCCTCAGCTTCCCGGAGGTCTGAGGTTGACGTGTCTGTATCGTACGCCCGGCCGTAGCCGCAGGTGCTGCGGTCTCCGTCCGTAGAGCGCATGCCTGTTGTTATCGGGCTTGTTCTGTAATAGGTGGTTGGTTTTCCCTCGGAGGAAGAGTCTGGAAGTAGTGAGCCTGGGAGTTGTGGGTTCCAATCTGAAAGGCAGCCATTTGGAAGAGTCCCTTCCCTTCTCTCGGCCTCGATTTCCCAGTCAGGATTGGGGTGGGCTATCCTGATGGATTTAGAGGGACCTTTCCTGAATCTGTCTCGGATTTATCCTGGAAAGCTCCGAAGCTGGAGGCCCGAATTAGGAAGAACCGGGGTTCGTAGAGGAGATGGCCTCCGGGGTAGGGTCTGTATGGGGGTTGCTCTCATGCGCTGCTCTTCTCTTCCCTATCTTACCCCCTCCCAAGGGCCGGTTGATCGGTAGCCTCTCCGAAGCCCGGCTGCGGAGGGTGGTGGGGCAACTAGACCCAGGCCGGCTCTGGAACACTTACCTGCGCCCCCTGCTGGTTGTGCGGACCCCGGGCAGCCCGGGCAACCTCCAAGTCAGAAAGGTAAGGGACCCCACCTCCAACCCCTGACCTGGCAGCCTGCCAGGGAACAGGAGCCAGGCATTCTGCCCAAGATCCCCCGAGCCGCTAAGACACAGAGCTGGGACTCTGACTGCGGATAATCTGAATCTAGAGCCTCGCTTTAGTAGTCAGTCACCAGGCTGTACTGCCTTCTGTACTGCCCGGCAAAAGCTTACTGTGCGCTAGGCAACTGTTCTGTCAGGTGAATAACAATGTAATGCTCACTCTGCAAATGGGGAAACTGAGGCCTAGAGCATTTTGCCCAAATCCCACAACTCATAAATGACATACCAAATTTCAGGTTGGCTTCAGCGCTGGCACCATAACATCTTTGTATTGGCTCCCTTCTTGGCATCCCGAGTCATTTGAATACCTACTTCTTGAGTTCAAATCCGACCTCAGCCACTTGGAGTGTGACCTTGGACTAGTTTCTTAACCTCTCTGCGCCTTAGTTTCCTCATCTATGCACCTGGCACTTGGTAGGGACTCGGCAAAAGCGTGTCAAGGGAATGACTGAAACAGAAGTGGGGGTGATGAGTTGGCCCAACGGCTCTGCATGGCTTGGGTCACATGGCCCTTCCCCCCACCTCCTCCCCAGTCCCCACCCAGCCTCCCGCCTCTCTCCTGACACTAGTTCCTGGAGACTACCCTGCGGACCCTGACGGCGGGCTGGCATGTGGAACTGGACCCCTTCACGGCCTCAACACCCCTGGGGCCGCTGGACTTTGGCAACGTGGTGGCCACACTGGACCCAGGGGCTGCCCTTCACCTCACCCTTGCCTGCCATTATGACTCCAAGCTCTTCCCATCTGGGTCAGCTCCCTTTGTGGGGGCCACAGACTCGGCCGTGCCTTGCGCTCTGCTGCTGGAGCTGGCCCAGGCCCTGGACCAGGAGCTGAGCAGAGCCAAGGAGCAGGTGAGGAGTGGGGGGCCCGGGCCGCCCCTCCCCTGCCTGCACATGTCTTCCTGCTTTCACTCTACACACACAGTCGCGGGGATCTTTTCATGCCCTGAAGCTCAGATCCTGTCCCTCCTCTGCCCGACACCCTCCCCACGGCTCCCACCTCATTGCAAGCCTGAGCCAGAGTCCTTACAGGGGGCCATGAGGTGGGCCCCGTTACTTCTCAATTCCCATCTCCCACTCCTGTCCCTCCTCCCCGTTCCTCAGACTCTGGAGAGTTCCTGGAGTCCCTCCCATCTGAGGGAATTTGCACTCCCTCTTGGCTCTGCCTAGAATGTGCTTTTCACAGACACTTTCCCGGCTGGCTCCTGCCCTTCATCCAGGTGTCATCCAGTGTCACCCCCTCTGAGATGGCTTCCCAGCCACCCTGAAAGAGCTCCCCGTCACCATCCCGGTTTCCGGCGCCTTGTCTGTCTACCTCCCCAACAAGAATACGCTCCATACACGCAGGGGTTTGGTGGCCTTGGTTTTCTGCTGTGTCCCCTGGGCCCAGGTGATTACCTGGCATAAACCAGGATGTCAGTAGAAATGCGTGGGATGAATGAAAACACAGATCTCCTCATGCTGCTCAGACCTGCTCAGACCCCTTCTGTGGCTCAGCCCCCTGTAAGAAGGCCCATGCGCCCTGGCCCTCGCTCAACCCCTCAGGCCTTTTCACAAAGCTCTCTGGCTCTGGTGCCAGCCCTCACCCATGTCACTTCCTTGCCTGGGGACAGTCTTCTCTCGGCTCCATTTTGCCAGGCCAGCTCCCACTCATCTCGGTGCAAATGCCTCTTCCCAGCAGACCCAACATGGTTTCCAGGCCAGGTTATCCCCGATCCCTTCCTATGCTCTTTTTGAACCCTGTAGTTCTTCTTTTTTTAATGTTTGTTTATTATTGAGAGAGACACAGAGACAGAGCATGAGCGAGGGAGGGGCAGAGAGAGAGGGAGACACAGACTCCAAAGCAGGCTCCAAGCTCTGAGCTGTCAGCACAGAGCCCGACCCGGGGCTCGAACTCACGAGCCGCGAGATCATGACCTGTGCTGGTCAGATGCTTCACCGACTGCCCCCCAGGGGTCCCCCCAGAGTCTGTACTTCTGGCCACCACCTTCTCTGAGTGAGAAGACCTAGTCTGCCCTGCCCAGCTGCACGAGCGGGAAGGAAACGTGGATGGGCTGAGGCCAAGGGCTGGCCCTGAGCTGGCCCTGACCACCAGCTCCCACAGGAAGCCCCGGTGACTCTGCAGCTGCTCTTCTTGGACGGCGAAGAGGCACTGAAGGAGTGGGGGCCCAAGGACTCCCTTTATGGCTCCCGGCACCTGGCCCAGCTCATGGAGTCTGCACCCCACAGCCCGGGCCCCACCAGGATCCAAGCTATCGTAAGACCAGGGCCCTGCTGGGTTCCGGCGAGGGAGGGAGAGGGCCGGGCGCGCTTGGCCACACGCCACCCGGCCTCTGTCCCTAGGAGCTCTTCGTGCTTCTGGATCTCCTGGGCGCCCCAAACCCAAACTTCTACAGTCACTTCCCTCACACGGCCCGCTGGTTCCATCGGCTGAGGAGCATCGGTAAGGGTGAAGGTAGAGGCAGGCGCCAGCCTGGGATGTGGGACGGCTGCCGGGCTGAGTGAGGCACCTGTCTCCGAGGGGCCATCCAGCCTGCCCCCCACCTCTCTAGCCTCTGAGGCATGAGAGTAGAAACACACAAAGATCCCACAGCAGTCAAGTGCAGTGATTACAAACGGGGGCTCTGGGGTCAAAGAGCCCTGGGTTTGAATTCTGGCTCCACCTCTTACCAGCTGTGTGAACCTGGGCAAGTGGCTCCATCTCTCTGAGCCTCAATTTCCCATCTGGAAAATGGGCAGGAAATTGACAATAGTAGGGATATCGATCTCCGAGGCTCAGAGGGAATAAATGAGACCAGGACACACTGAGCCTGCAGGAAGGGGTAACTAACCACATTCTTGTCGGGATCCTCAGTGCTTTGCTCAGGCCTCCCGCCCTGCCCTGATGTGTGAGCAGGAGAGCCTTTGACCCTGAGGGGCTGACTCTTGCTCTCTAATCCCCACCACCTCCAGAGAAGCGTCTGCACCGCTTGAACCTGCTGCAGGCTCATCCCCAGGAGGTGATGTACTTCCAGCCCGGGGAGCCCCCTGGCTCTGTGGAAGATGACCACATCCCCTTCCTCCGCAGAGGTAAGTGCTGCAGGGAGCGGGGAGGGGGTTGGGGAAGTCCAAGGAAGGCACAGACGGGCCCTGGCCCTGGCCCGCTCCCAGGGCTGGGGAGTGGTGGCAAGTTCTTTAACGCCTTTGTGCCTTGACTTTCTCATCTGTAAAACGGGGACGCTAATAACCCCTATCTCAGAGCTGTGGAGGGAGTCGAACGAGCTAACACATGGAAAGATGCTACTGGCCCAGCGATGGCACGTCGTAAACGTTCAAGAAACGTTAGCTCCTCTTGTTGGTGCCTCAGTGATTGTGCCTCAGCCCAGCAGAATCACCCAAGGAACTTTGAAAAATGCCCAGTTGCATCTCTGGCCTTCTGAACACACTTGCGGGTCTCTGTGTTACTCGTACAAGACTCCCAGATGACCCTGACAGACGGCCAGGCCTGAAGATGTCCGGCAGAGGGGCTCAGAGCCTAGGATTGTCCTAGATTTGGACAGGCTTGGCTTCTAGCATCTGCCACTTACCATTGGTTGACCTGAGGCAGATTACCCAGCCTCTCTGAGCCTCGTTGCCCATGTTTCTTCTGGAAAACGAAGAGACCTATGGACACACCTGTGTGTGTATATGTGTGATCACAGGGTAGGGAGGATTGAACAAGGGTAGGTATGTAACATGCGTTCTTCTGCAGTGCTTGGCAGATAGTAAGTATTAAAAACGGCTTTTTCAATTTGTGCTCTATATTTTACTTAACAAATATGCATTCCTTACAGTGCCTTAAGTTTATTTATTTACTTTTGGAGAGAGAAAGAGAGAGGGAGAGCACGAGCATGGGAGGGATCGGGGGGCGGGGGGAGAGAATCCCAAGCAGGCTCCACGCTAATAGCATGAACCCATACACTGTGAGGTCACGACTTGAGCCGAAACTGAAAGTCAGACCCTTAACCAACTGAGCCTTCCAGGCTCCCCTCCAGTGCCTTCTTTATTGATTCATTCAGTGACTATTTCCCAATGCAGTACTGGGCCAGACGTCAGGGATACAGTGATGGGCACTAATCTGCCTGGGTCCTGTCTAGTAGTTGGGGGGACAGATATTTGCCAAATCTTGACAAACACAGGAAAGTGCTCTGAGGACAGGAACCCATTGCAGTGCAGGGATTAGGAAAACAGACTTGAGAGACAGGCGGCCTGGGTTCCCATTCTATCTAAGCAGGTTTAAATTTTTTGTTTGTTTGTTTTATTTATTTTTGAGACAGAGACACAGAGCACGAGTAGGGGAGGAGCATGTAGAGAGGGAGACACAGAATCTGAAACAGGCTCTAGGCTCTGAGCTGTCAGCACAGAGCCCGACAGGGGGCTCGAACCCACAAACCCTGAGATCATGACCTGAGCCGAAGTCGGACGCTTAACCAACTGAGCTACCCAGGTGCCCCTATTCAGGTTTACTAGAGGCGTGAGCTTAGGTGAATCACTCTGCCTGCCTCTGTGCCTGGGTGTCTCATCTATAAAATATGGTGAATATAGGATTACTGTAAAGGATTATTGCAAGGATAAATGGTGTGTGGGGGTCTGTATGGCCTTAATTTAGAGCCTAGAATCGAACATGTATGATAAAAGTGCAAGCTAAGGGCACCTGGCTGGCTCAGTCGATACAGCATCTGACTTTTTTTTTCTCTCTTTTTTTTTTTTTTGAGCATCTGACTCTTGACCTCAGGATTGTGAATTTGAGTCTCACATTGGGTGTTAGAGATTGCTTTAAACTTTTTTTTTTAACGTTTATTTATTTGTGAGAACGAGACAAAGTGTGAGCGGGCGAGGGGCAGAGAGAGAGGGAGACACAGGCTCCGAAGCAGGCTCCAGGCTCTGAGCTGTTGGCACAGAGCCCGACGCGGGGCTCGAACCCACGAACCTCGAGATCGTGACCTGAGCCAAAGTCAGATGCTTAACTGACTGAGCCATCCATGCGCCCCTGGAGATGGCTTTTGAAAAAAATTTTTTTTTAAAAGGTACAAGCTATAAATAAAGAAAATAAAAAGAGCTAAATACTCTACCTGGCAAAAGAATTCAATGGCATCTTTCCCTTCTTCCAGTCTTTGCCCAATCCATTAACTCTTCAGTTTCTCTAACGTGTGTTTGAGAACAAGAGATATACTGGATGTATTTTTTCAAACTAACGTGTTGCCCTCACGTGCTTAAAGCCATCATTCAGAGTTCTTCGGAGGCCAGGACTCCATATCTTCTGGGTGGGGGGCGAGGCAGGTTTCCCCGGGCCTGGGTCTGGGCTCCTGGGTCGGCCGTTGGCCTCACCAAGCGTCCCCTCTCTCCTCCAGGCGTCCCGGTGCTCCACCTCATCTCCATGCCCTTCCCCTCCGTCTGGCACACGCCTGGCGACTCGGAGGCCAACCTGCACCCCCCCACGGTGCACAACCTCAGCCGCATCCTCGCTGTGTTCCTGGCCGAGTATCTGGGGCTCTAGCCTCCCTGGCTGACTCTGAGCGCGGAGCCGCCAGCTGGGACGTCCCGGGGGTGTCTGGAGCCAACGGAGCTTGGGCCAGGCTGTCCGATCCTTTCTTCGGCTCTATTTGTGCTATGACTGGAAGACCCTCTCTCCTTTGAGGGTCTCAAGCTACCGCTCTTCAAAGACTTGGAAGAGGCGAGGCCACTGTGGGGGGTGGAGCCAAACGCCTAAGAGCTCGGACCCTGTCCTGAAGGAAGCACTTGGTTTGAAGGCTCCCAGGGGCCAATTGCTGTTCAGTCGGAGTCAGCAGACCTTGGCGGGGCCTCAGGACCAGCACCACCGCCCCATCAAGTGAATTCTCCGTGGCTTATGTTTTCAGGATGTCCGTGGATCGCCACGTGGGGCCCACAGGGAATGGGCTTGTGAACAGGAATGAGGAGATGGAAGCTGATATTTGGGAGCTCGAGTCAGCCAGACCCGAGGGCAATAAACCAGTGTTTCTGTGAAACATACTCTGCAGATTTAGCATGACTAGGTGTTGCTTGGGGGGGGAATCAGTATTTCAGCATGGAACCCCTTGATTGGGAGCCTCATAGAACCAGGGTGCCTCAGAAGTCACTCTGGGAAACACTAGGTTTCGACAAGTTTAAGTGTGTTCGTGGAAGGAGTCAGACGGACCGTGATTCCCTGCTTGGCTAGTTCTGCCAAGCCATCCTTTCCCTTTCTGTTGTGGGTGTAGGAGTGTGAGATGGTGGGGGTCACCGCAACTCCAGTGATGGCTTGAGGAAGGCTTTCCCCACCCTCCCTAATGGTCAGGCTCAACTGGGGTGCTTGTTAAAAAATGCAGAATCCCAGGGTCGCTCCCGCCCCCCAGACCTGCTGAATCAGAACCCCGGGATGGGGCTGGAACTCTGCAATGAGCCCCTGAGGAAGTGGCCCCATCACTGGCGGGGACACACCTTCCTTAAGGACACAGTGTGGTGTGTTCCCGGCAGCTTAGCCGACTGCCAGGCTCTGTGCTTGCTGGTTTTGTGACTTGGACGGAGCCCTGGCAGTCAGCAGGGAGCCCCGGCCAGGATGGAGGGTTGCGTAGTGAAGGTGAGCCTTCCGAGCCAGCTTGGGGCTGGAGAAGGCTCCAGAGAACTCACGGGCCAAAACCCAGGATTTAAGATGAGAGAGGATGAATAGAAGGTCCTTGTTTGTGGTTTTCCGCAGCAGCTGACATTTACCAGGCACCTGCCGTGTGCCAGGCGCCACGAGCACTTTACACGGATCAGCTCATGGAGTCACCGCGGTGACTCAGGAAGTCCTGAGGCAGGTACGATTTCAGTTCTTGTTTTGCAAAGGAAGTGGCGAGGGCTGAGGCTGCCGATGACCCTGTTGTTTACAGAGCCCACGTTCTCACCCGCAACTGCACTCCTAACCCCATGTCGCGTTTCCCAGAAATCACCTGTGCTGGCCCAACGGGGCCTTACAACAAGTAGCTCCTCCTGAGGCTGAATGGACTGCAAGTTAGAGCGGGCTTGGGGTTGGCGGGGAGGACACTGATGGCCTCTTACTGGTGGATATGGTGTTAGTCCAGAGCTTAGAAATGGAAGTCGACGGACCTCAACAGCCAGGGAGGCAAGGATCTCAAGCAGGAGGGACAGTTCATTTCTCGTGTGGCCCTCACGGTGCCGAGCGCTTGAGACTTTTTCATCTCCCCTTAGCCTCACAGCCATCCCCAAGGGGAGGGAGACCTTCACCTTGGAGTTAAGAGACGGGGAACCGTGTGTTGAGTTACACCCCGGGCTCTCTACGCCTTCCCAGTGAGGGGTACTGCGTACCGGGCACCGGGTGGGGAGGCCTGGTGCACGTTACGCCCTTGAATCTGAGACAGGGCTCGCTAGCCCCATTTCGCAGATGAGGCTGCTGGTGCTAGGCAAGGTGTCATCCCCAGCTCCCACTCATCCCCCAGACTTGGGGCTGTCCCGTGTCACAGCTCTTAAGGGGCTGCTAGGTTTATCTGTGAAGTGCAACTATTGAGCAATCTAGGTGCTGACGACTCACACATGGATCTTTTGAAGAACGGTCCATATTCTCATTTTACACTTGAGCAAAGAGCCTCAGAGAAGTCAATGGCTGTAAGTCACATAGGCGGACACTTCACGCAATGTGTCTAGGGACACTTTTTTTTAATTCATTCTGCTTATAACTCACTGGGTTTGTTGGGGTCATTCATCACTCTAGGATTCGCCAACCATCCCGTCTTTAAATATTATCTTTGCGCCATTCTCTCTTCCGATTCTAGAAGGTCAACTGAATGTGTTAGACATTCTATTCCCCATGACCTTCTTTCATATTTTTGTCTCTGTGCTACTTTTCAGACCTAGCTCTAGTTCAACAAATCTTTTTTCAGTCGTGTCTTATTTGCTGTTTAGCCCAGCCATTGAGTTTTTACTTTGGGTTATTGTGTCTGTGGCTTTTCTTTTCTCTGTTATTGTTATTTTATTATTTTTTTAATATAATTTATTGTCAAATTGGCTAACAGACCACGTGTAAAGTGTGCCCTTGGCTTTTGGGGTAGATTCCTGTGGTTTATCACTTACATACAACACCCAGTGCTCATCCCAACAAGTCCCCTCCTCAATGCCCATCACCCATTTTCCCTTCCCCCCACCCTTTTTTAATGTTTTTTTTTCCTCCTTTTTTTTTTGAGAGAGCGAGTACACAGAGAGACACAGAATCCAAAGCAGGCTCCAGGCTCTGAGCTGTCAGCACAGAGCCAACGTAAGGGCTCGAACTCACAAGCCCTGAGATTGTGACCTGAGCTGAAGTTGGATGCTTTACTGACTAAGCCCCCTAAGTGCCCCTGAGGCTTTTTTTTTTTCTTTCACATCTGCTAGGCCATTATTGAGTTCTGGGTTGCCTGCAGATTTCCAAGCTCTTATACAGAACAATCCTATGAAACCTATCGGCCACAAGCAGAGTATATCCCCTGCTTTCCAAAAGATAATGTCACACCACTGCACTTTTAGACAAGACCTATACTAGTACCTATTTTCACTATCCGAAAGAGATCAGAAGAGGGTTTTCACTTTTATGAAAAGAGCCGTTACCATACTAATGTCGGTCTTGTGTAAAAGCAAGATGATGCAACTCGAACTTCCGGGAAGTGGGGGGTACCTGTGTTCTGATCTGTGACCGATCCGCTCACCCTCCGAAGCCTCTGTGAGTCTGCTTCTGCTCTGGGGTCTGTGCTGGCTCCTGCTAGCGCCGCTACGTGTCCCTGTGTTTGCCTGTGTCTGTGTGCCGGTCATTGTCTGAAAAATCACTTGTGGGCATTCTAGATGACAGCTTCTTACCCCAGAGGATTTGTTTGTCTCTGCCAGATGTCTCACCTAAGAAGTACCTGCAACTCTCCTTTAGTCTTGTGCTCCCCTCATTTTTTTTTTTTTTGGTTTGTTTTTAATGTTTATTTTTGAAAGAGAGAGCAGGGGAAGGGCAGAGAGAGAGGGAGACACAGAATCTCAAATAGCCTTCAGGCTCTGAGCTGTCAGCACGGAGCCTAATGCGGGACTTGAACTCACCAACCTCGAGATCATGACCTGAGCTGAAGTCGGACACTTAACCGACTGAGCCGCCCAGGCGCCCCTCCCGTCAGTGTTTAGAACATCTTCTCTGCAGTTTTCTGGGTCATCCTTACTGGGGCTTGTAATTTGGTGGGATCCCAGCTCCTGTGAGATTCCTCACCTTGGGTAGGCTTGGCCTTGACTTCTGCCTGCTTGTCCCTACAAGATTACAAATAGGGAAACTCAAAAAGTTTGTCGGCACAAGCAAATGACCTCAGAGCAAAAGTAGCTTCAGCGCCCATGTACCTTTCGCTTAAATTTTTGGCATGGTGTGTCCTTTAACTATTACATGGGCTATTTGATGCAATTATGATTTTTTAACTACCTCTTTTCAGCAGGAGAACCCAAATAATCTGGTTGTTCCCTCCAGAGAAAACTGAAGTCCCACAAAGCCAAGCCTCAAACCCAGCTCTCTTTGATTCTAAAACCTAAGTATTAAATAACGACTTTGGGGGCGCCTGGGTGGCTCAGTCGGTTAAGCGTCCGACTTCAGCTCAGGACATGATCTCGCGGTTCATGGGTTTGAGCCCTGCGTCGGGCTCTGTGCTGACAGCTAGCTCAGAGCCTGGAGCCTGTTTCAGTCTGTGACTCCCTCTCTCTCTGATCCTCCCCTGCTCACGCTGTCTCTCTCTCTCTCTTAGAAATAAATAAAACATTAAAAAAAATAATAAATAACGACTGTGATGTATCCTAGTCTCTCTGGTCATTTTTATTCCCTGATGAGAATATCAGATGGGGTGCCTGGGTGGCTTAGTCGGTTAAGCGTCCGACTTTCGCTTAGGTCATGATCTCGCGGTTCGTGNATCTTGAATTCTAAGTTTAAACTACTAATTCCAGTGGTCTAGAACCAGGAAGGCATCTTCCCTAGAATCTGATTAAAATGGCACCATTTTATTTTATTTTTTTAATGTTGATTTATTTATTTTGAGAGAGAGGGGCGCCTGGGTGGCTTAGTCGGTTAAGCGTCTGACTTTCGCTCAGGTCATGATCTCGCGGTTCGTGGGTTCGGGCCCCGCGTCGGGGTCTGTGCTGACTGCCAGCTCAGAGCCTGGAGCCTGTTTCAGAGTCTGTGGCTCCCTCTCTCTCTGACCCTCCCCTGCTCACGCTGTCTCTCTCTCTCTCCCAGAAATAAATAAAACATTAAAAAAAATTAGAAAGGAAAAAGAGAATGTCAGAGACTGCTGAATGGCTCTCAATATCCATTCTTTTCTCTTCCTTTATACTTGCATTGTTTAAATGACTTAACTCCTCTTATTTCAGAAATAAGTATTTTAAAGCTTCAATTACGGGGAAAAAGGAATCCTTCGTAAAATAGTTTCTTTTGTTGTTGTTGGGCGTAATGTACCAGCTATAAAACATTTCCCAGTCTCCCTTACAGCCCTTCCATATGGCTAAAGCTCTAACGAGATGGATGTACACGATTGCACAGTGTAGTATTTCTGGGAGGAAGGGGTCTTCTCTTCCTGCAAAATGGTGATGGCCGGAGTTCTAGCAGCCATCTCAGACCATGAGGATGGGGGCCACAGCCAAGGCATAGTGACCCAGAAGCAGCCTAGTTTCCTGATGATTTCAGGGCCACTGTACCTGCCCATCCTGGATTCCTAAAGAAATAAAAACTATCTTGTTTAAGCTACTACTACATTGAGATTTTTGAATCCAAACGGACCCAGACGAAGGAAGAGTCGAAAACAGTCTCAAGCTGAGGGACCTGGCTAATGGTTCTTTTCTCGATCTTTTCCAGCTCACACCACGCAGTGGTCCGTGGCTTCCTCTTCCCTCTAGCGCCCCCCACCCCCCACGAACAACACACAAACCAGTCCGGGCCCAGCCTTATAAATATTGATTTTATAGAAAGGACCAATGCAAAACTGGTCAGATGCCACACAGCAGAAGCTTCCAGAACCACAAGG